GGAACATCCCTGCTAAGTGGCATTGCTTGACACAAAAATGCAGTACCCAAAAACGTAGAGCCCGCCCTGTTGGCGGTTGGTCACTGTGTGGATAGTTTCTGAGCAGGCGTTCAGAATCCCATGGGTGACGCAAGTAAACTTTTGACGCTGATCACAATGGTAGCGTGTTCGTTGCCCTATCTCAAACCGGTCTCTAGATACCCAAGGGTTGAAATTCCTTTTACTATTTCCACACATATTTGTTCGATTTGTGGCCCCCTTACGTTACCCGTAACCATTTCTCAATGCGAAGCCTACTTTCAGCGCTACCACGATTAAAAATTGGATGTTCTCCGGTTACGGTCGTAACCGTTAACGTTACTCGTAACTGTAAGTGCTGACCGTATCCAGGCTACGCATACACTGATAAACTAAGTGTTCAACTACTCAACACTTGTAACTTAACATTTCCAGGACTTTTCAAATTTTTAGTATTTCCATGACTTTACAAATAAATATTAGAGAATCGCGAGACTTCTAACTATAAAACTGTATTTTTTTAAATGAGGCCATATCGACATATTCTTATTTGAATTTGAAAATTCATACTTTAATGTATACAATTTACCGTCAATTTTTTACGTGGTTCTAGAAATTCGATAGGACAATCTAGCCAAATTCCAGGACTTTAAGGGACCATTTTTTTCAGGACTTTCCAGGTGTTCCAGACTCTGTCAACTCAAATGTGTACATAGTACACATTAAAGAAAGTGTACATGGCATGTATTCTTTAATTAATGTGTACATGCCTATGTACACATTTATAAATGTGTACATGCCCATGTACACATTTATTAATGTGTACATGCCCATGTACACATCTTTTAATGTGTACATGCCTATGTACACATTTATAAATGTGTACATGCCCATGTACACATCTTTTAAAGTGTACATACAACCGTTAGGCCATGTACACATCTTTTAATGTGTACATGCCTATGTACACATTTATAAATGTGCACATGGGCATGTACACATTTATAAATGTGTACATAGGCATGTACACATTAATTAAAGCATACATGCCATGTACACTTTCTTTAATGTGTACTATGTACACATTTGAGTTGACAGAGGACTTGTGTGAACCATGTAAACCTTTGTTTCGTTTTGTGTGCAAATCTGTACAAGGGACGTACAAATGGATGCATAAAGAAGTTCAAATTGACGCAGAAAAGCGTAAAAATATTTAAATTCGCGTAAATAAAAGGTTTAAATTTATTAAGTGTGATAGTGCCATAAGATTTTCACATTTTAGGAGGAGCAGTGGGTGGAAACTATTCCATTCAGACAGTATCACGCTGTAATAATTCATGCTCAACTTATTTCATGTCTTTGTGGTGTGTGTAATTGGATTAAGGAGGCATTCGCCCCAGAAACTTTCCTGATTTTGCAAAAAGATGACCACACAGTCTGGGAAAGTAGTGGGGAGAGAAGTCTGAAGGGAGGGAAGTATAGAAACCATCTGCGAGGGCCAAGAGGATTGGACATCTTCGATTTTTAGTCGTATAAGAGGTCAAAAAACGTTATCAATTCTTGCTGTTTCCAACTTGAACTCAGGGTTAAGGAAGAACCTAGTCCAAAACTCCCATGCTCTGCATGGGATTCCAGGAACGCTTTTACATGGCCGGAGTAGATTTTCCATGTGTGGCTGCTCGCTTTCCATGTGCAGCCTCCTACAAAATTCACACGATTACCCCCAAGTGTACGAATGGATCTTCACATACCTGCAAGTGTGCGACATTCACACAGTTGCGTTTCCAGTGTACTTCATTGTGCGTCCTCCATATTCTGAACGTACTTAACTCAATCCATTATTCTAACCATAGTACATTGTACCGTAAATCAAATCAAATCACACGTGCCACACACTGGCCCTGCCGATGGTAAATAAGCAAACACCACTTGAAACACAATGTGGTGTCGCAGCCGCACCAGGACCAGGCACCATTTGTGAGGCTGCTGAGCGGTAAACTAGATCACTATTATTGGTTTTGCGGTCCAGGGATTGCACACGATGCTCACACGTACGTTGCATGTTGACTGCTGTTCGCTGTTCGAGGAGTTGTGCGCGTGCGCTTCATTTAATCGTATTTGCGGTCGGGTAAAAAAGTAGGTAAGAGAAGTTGCAGATCTCGTAAGGTCTACAGGGTGCTCAGACAGAAATTGAAAGAATTTTCAGAAACGTAACGTCGACATTTAAAGTTATACCGATACGTCTTAGAACACATTCTGTTTTTGACAGTTGTAAGTATGCAAGCTAATTACTTGGCACTTGCAGTTGCACATTGCTTGGTTTATCAGTGTAGCGCCCTAAGAAAGCGCTAGGTAGCACCTTTAATTTTTCAGTCTAAAGACAAAAAAGGAAGATGAGAACCGAAACGTTTCGGTCGTACGACCGGCGACCGGCCAAAATGTTTTCAAGTGAGAGGTAAAACATTTAAATACAACATCTTGCAGGCACTGCGAGGTATGAGCTACGTTCAGTTAACAGTAGCTTTTTCCCGTCCCCAAAAAAGCGTAGTACAGAAATAAAGGAGCCAGGAAAGGGTTGAAAAGTGAAGAGGTATGTGTTAAATAGGGAGGAGCAGGGGGAGGGCTGTCGCAGCATTGGGTTTGGGGAGGGAGGGGGGGCACAGTCATGAGGGGGGCGGATCTGAGGAGGGAGCCGTTTGACAGAGCAGACGGTGGGGAATCGAAAGGAGGAAGGAGGGTAGGGAGAAAAGGAGGGGTGCGAGTGGCAAGGAGTCGTGATTTGGATAGGGGCTGGGGGCGAGGACGGGCAAGGCCAGAGGGAGGTTGTCTCTCACGGAAAATTGGGTTACCGCAGCAAGCAAGCAGGCCGGGCCGCGGTCGGGGCAGGGCAGGGCGACAAGGCGGCGGGGCACAGGGCGCGGCAGGCCGCTTTCTTGTTCTTTGTCGCTCCCTGGTCCTGGCGTGGCACGGCGTTGGGAAAACATGATTCCACGACGAAAATTTAAGAAGCATCCTGTTGATTGGCTGAGCGATTAGCGAAAGCCTATTGCTCCAATGATAATCAAAAAGTTTCGTGTCTGTCAGTGTGTTTGTCCGTTTGTCTGTCATCACGATAAATCGCGAACGGTTTGAGCTAGGTAGAGCGACTGAACCTATTTCGGTCGTCCCCTAATTTGGGTCAATTAGACTTACACACGCTCCCTCGCGAAAATGTATGGGTTTTAATTTTTTTGGAGAAAAGGTTTGTCGTTTCCTACTATAAAATACCATCGCTTCACCCCAGTGCGGTTCATATGTCTCAATTTCAGATCAAATTCACGTCCCTACTCAAACTGACATAACTCCGAGACGAGTGCAGTTACGGACACCAAAATAATTGCTTTTTGGTAAGGAAGATCCAACCTCTTCGTGCCTTCCTACGCGATTGTTCTAAAACCTGTGTGCTTTGGTTAAGGGCAGGAATACAAAAATCTGATCCGAAATAAATTCAGTCGCTCTGCGTGAAATTTTTATGGTAATTTTGTATTATGAAAAGCAAGAACTGTATTGATTTTGCGCCCTCCAGCTCAAAAATTGACTTGTCAAAGAATCTGTTACGGAGGTTGTTGGGAAATGTCAAAGCATTTTGGCAATTTAATGTACAACTACCTTATCGCGAAATCCCACATTTTTCTGTTGACTCTCGTTGAGTCACTGTGAAACTCCTAAAGGTCGTAATTAGCTCAGCGGTACGTCTGGCGAAGCAGACCTTTTCACACTCCACTCCCTTTCACCCCCCTCCCCCTCCACAGACCCCCTCTCTTTTCAATTTTCTCACATTCCTCACATTTTTGCTCTCTCACCACCCCCAGCAGTAGTTCCCACCACCGCACTCCAGAGTCCATACGTGCGGCGTCTTTCAGCCCAGCAGCACGATCTAGTCCCCTCTCCCGGAGGACCCAGGTGTTCGGGCGGCTGGCCTTCGTGGTGACCACTGTGGACCCGCTCGGACCCAGAGCCAGACCCAGGGCCGAGCCTCACGGCCAGACGGGGCCCGCCGCGCCTCGCCTACCAGGGCTCTCCGGCTGCAGCGAGTGTGGCGCCAGCCTCCCCACCCAGCACAGGCGAGGGAATGTTTCCACAACGCCATGAGCACATTCACCGAGCAGAAGCGGGCAGTGCGAGTCGCTATCTCCTCTTTGCCCCCCCCCCCCTTCTACCCTCTTCCAGTGGTATCGTTCCCATCCCCACACGTAAATAAACAAACACGTGCGACACACGCGTCCAGGGGTACAGTCTGCTAAAGGGAAGCATACATTTTTTAAATGGGTTTTGCAAGAAAAATACAGTCTCGATTTTTGTATTTAGTTCTTGAAGCATTATGGGTATCTTCAGGGTGTTCAAATTATTATGCTAGTCACTGCCCCCAGGCATCTTTTTTTAGGCAAGTATAAACAGAAACTGTGGAATTTGTCATAGAAAAGGGGCTCGATAGGGGAGCACACGACAGCTCTCTGCAGCCGCCACCAAAGAAGCACAACAGGGTCCTCTTCCTAGTATTGAAAGGGATTAGACTACGCCACATTGTTGGCTACTTACAGGAGTAATTCAATCTAAGTTGCCATGCGGCTGGTTGCCCCCCCCTCCCCCCTTTCTCTCTCCCTTGAGCTATAGGTGTGCGCGATGGGGGCACAAGAGGAACACCCCTTCCTCTTAGCTTTCAGATACACCGAGGAGAGTGTGAGGGAGAGAAGGGGAGGAGAGCAAGAGCGAGAGAGATAGAGTATAGAGAAGGGATCTACCTCGACCGACTGGAGGGGCGGGCAGGAGGGACGACGTGATTTGAATACAGCCTGCGGGAGGGAGGGACCTCCCAGGCGCCTTCCAGGCGCTCGCACACAGCAGACCCTATACGTTTAAATGCCATAAATCGAACAGCTCAGCACGTTCTGGCCCTCTCGCCACGGCTTGGCGAGGCGTGGCGGGGTGGGCGTCACACGTACCTGAGAGAGCGGGCGAGGCGGAGCTTGGGCGGAGCTTGGGCGGAGCTTGGGCGGGGGTCCGCAGCTACATCAGCCGCCGGGTGGGCCCGTCATCTGGGGACAAAATAGAGAGGTGAGCGGCTGGCACTGGACTGCGGAAAACGGCACGCCACACTGTTAGACAAACACTTAACCACATTAAAGGGGTGGGCAGTTATTAATTAATGTGAAAATGTTTCGCCTAGACAGTCGACGTTCGACAGAATATAAATTACCTTGCCCACAATTTTGCAATAATGACGCAAATCTCCATACTGAAGAAGTAATTTGATCTTCTTTGCGGAAAGTTTAAGAAAAAATTAGCCCACAGATAAATAATTTTTGAAAGGATTCGTGTAAAGATGAGTGATTTTGCTAACAAACCCTCTTAATACTGTACGGTGTATTTCAAATAAGATATTTGACTCTCGGGCGTTGCCGCGTTGTTGGTGTAATGGTCTGCTCCATAGAGAAATGATCAGCTATTGTGAATTTTTCAATTTTCCTTTTATTTTCATTCTACTGTTCGAAACATTATGCTTCGCGCGAGGACCTTGACATGGTCATGGTCATACATAGCCCAGCTTCACAGAAGACGTCCTAGCGCTCCAGTAGTACAAGCACGGCCCGGTGGATGCGAGGCAACAACAACAACAAAGCAGCTTTAAACGGTCAGCGCGCGAAAAATGGAGGCGCGTTTCACTGATACCGCCACTACCGCCGTTGAAAGCAATGCATTTTTCATCCCCGCGAGCTTCCGTGTGGCGGCAGCGGGTGTTGCTTGTGGTGTTTTAAAAGCGAAAGAGAAAAGAGGACAAAAAAAAAAAGGACAGCCACGCCAGTGGGGCGGGAACAGCGGCAGCAGGGCGGGGGGCTGAAGGAAGGAAGAGTGCCCCGGTGCACACGCTCAGGCTTTCAGCAGGTGAATGGAAACGGCAGGAGAGCGCACGTCCCTAGCACCAAAAAAAGACAATGAAAAAATTCTTTTTTGAATAAGTTTGGTGGTGGTATTTCTGTACTAAATTCCTACGGCAACCCGCTGGATAACACACCGGGTCTTGAAAAAAAACAACAAAAAAACGAATATCAGTGAAAAGTCATAACGGACGGACCGAACCAAGAGTTTTTATGCCACTTTTCCTGTTTAGGCACGCTTTCTCTACCACGAAGATTGAAAGCAATCGGTGATCGGTGCTGCAATTAAGAGACATAAAAGTACACACACCCATACCCACAATTTCCCATTCAGGACAAAGAGGTTTCGTATTCCATGATGAAAAAAGCGTAACTTTAAAACTTTGCATGGTCGGTATAAGTGCGCTGCAACAGCCAGCGCCAGCAACGTGAAGATGTATAAGCCGCTCCAGCTCCGGGCTTGCGGCCCGCGAGCCAGCCGGGCCTGAAAGTTCGCAGTGAGGTTCGCGCGGGGGGCTCGACGGCCCCTGCCCCTCACCCTCCCTTCCCCCCATCCCCCGCCACGCCACGCCTCCTCCGGACATCACGGTAGAGAAGTTCTCGCGCCGAGCGCTTCCCGCAAAACTCGGCTCACTAGTCACCGACGGGTTGCGGTGGTTGCGGCCCCCGCCTATCAACCGGGGCAGTAGGCAGCGTGCACACACCAATGCGCGCGGGTGGGAGAAGCTGCTATGATAGAGGGAACCCGAGCTCCATGAAGCTCTCCAAAAGCGACACACACAGCGAAAACAGCTCGCAGCATACGATTTGGTCGGCAAGAACTTTCATCCCATTTAGAGACTTTGCATATCCTTCCACCCCTTCAGATAATGAACGAAGAGGATTGCGGCCAAAAGGAAAAAAATGTTTATGAGTGTCAACGTGGCTCACCCACGGGGCGAGGAGACCGTTTTCGGAAACGGAATGACGCCCTGGGGCAGGGGTTTAGAATGAATTTCTCAAATTTCTCAAATGTAGCGTCAAATTATTTCAGAGTAGAGAAAGGGAAGTTAGTTTAGCGGAGAGAAAGGGGCTGGAGAGTGAAAATGGAAAAGGGAGCAAGGTAGGGAGAGCTGTCAAGTACGATCTCGACCAAGTTGACCTTGGTGGAGCACTGCGTCATGGTTTGGTCACACCTGCGTGGATACCCTCGTGCAGCTCCGTCCCCCTGTTACCAGCAGGACGCAGTGTTCTGGTGGTGCCAAGTGTGGTCGACAGATCGACAAGAGGGCTGTGGGGCTGTAGTAGATCATACCCCTCCAGCAGCCCTCAATTCTCGCCCCTCCTGTCTGTCCATCTATCCCAGTCCATCCCCATTTCTTTTCTTTTTTTATCCCTCCACCGCATGCCGGGGGAAAAGAAAACGGGTAAATGCAAAATATATTAGGCACGTGAGGAGGACCGAGAAAGGAAAGGGGACAGGAGAGAAAGAGAAGGGAAAAAGAAAGAGCAAAGGTGTGACGGCGAGCGGTGATGGCAGGGGGCATTTTCACGTTCCGTGGACGCAGGGCGAGAGGAAAGGTGCTGTATCATTCGCGGAGCCAAGCCAAGTTCAGTCCTGCTCCGTCATTTCGGTCATGATGACCTCACCAGCTTCGAGGGGAGTACGTGGGGGGCAGGACAGCAGGGTGTGAAAGAAGGAAAGTAAAGGCTGCGGCGGAAGGGTGCACGAGGAGTAAAATTAGGTAGGATAGGGTAGACAGACAGATAGACAGACAGACAGACAGACAGATAGATAGATAGATAGATAGATATATAGATAGATAGATAGATAGAAATTCCAGAGAAGCGGCGATCGAGCTGAGCGGCAAACTGGAATGCGGAGAATGGAAAAGGGGGAGTAGCTCGGGGAAAGAGAGAGAGAGAGAAGAGGGGGGAGGGGGGATGCAGCTTGTTACTATCCATGAATTAAGTCACAGTGAGAAACGTAACCTCCCCTTCACATTGTTTCTGATGGCTTTTTTTCCCTAGCCTGTCGAGAGGGCAAGGGAGAAATACCAACATTGTTGTCCTCAGGAAGCTAATATGGCCTTCTAGCACGGAGCTAGCACGGTGACAAGGGTAGAGGTACGACAGAAATTCCACCCGCTACAGATGCTGAGAAAATAAGGTCAATCTTGTAGAGAGTAACTCACACGGCCTCGACTAAAACGGGGCCACCGGGGTAGAAAAAGTCAGTCCAGGTAGTAACAGTAAAATTATTAACAAAAGAGGATCCGACGGGATCCGAATAAGTAGGGGCGGCATTCAGATAGTAAAATAAGGGACTGAGGCTGGTGTGCCGCGCCGAGGTGAAACTTTGGGGGTAAAAACTTGTTTCTCTGCAGTCGGCACGGATTGGATTAATACTAGCGGCGAGAACGGCGCATTGCTGCGTGGGGGTGGGGGTAGGGGAGAACACCAAGGGGAGGGAGGCTGTCTGACAACTCTCTACTTAATCCACACCTTGCCCGACAACCATAATGAATAGAATCCACCATCCTAGCTCACCATCCTATCAGCAACTT